ACGTTCGGCAACATTGACATCTGGAGTAGTATAGATGCCTTGAGAGTAAAGGAATTGTTTGCCACTGCTCAAGTTGTAACCATCTTCGGCAATCGATCTACCACCACATTTTGCGGTTCCATGATAGGATACAGGCCATTCATCTGGTTCAGAATGACGGCGGAATTGTCGACTTACTCCACCGAGCCATGTGTTATTTTCATACTTATTGATCACCTTTAAAGCGATTCGATTCCATCCTAGAGGACGTCTATACTGAATTTGGCCTCTAAAGAAACTGGCGGTATCTGTGACATTAGTGAAATTGAAATCATATATAGGGTCAAGGTGGTCAGGGTGAAGAAAGTAATTTAAAGCACCACCGCCACCACGAAGACGAAGTATAAGATGAAGTGTAGAGTCTTTGAAGATGTTATAGTCACAAAGTTTATAGGCATCATCGAGTTGTTTGCCAGCAAAAACAAGTCGCTGTTGATCTAGTGGAATTCCTTCCTTAGCTTGAATTTTGTGCTTGATTTTTCCGATAGTAGTGCCAGATTTACAATTAATAGTCAAGACTTTGCCGCTTAAAGATCTAACAAAGATCTGCATGGTATCATCAGCATCATCATCGTCATATTCAACTTGAGCTTCAACCAAGTCGTTTTCATCAGTTGAAACAATTCCACCAACTAAATGTGATTGATGAAGGTCATCTGAATTCAACATTTGAAATAAGAAAGACATATTATCTTTTTTTTTCAAATATTCATCATAAGGCACAATGGTTTGGTTTGTCACCACACTAAGTGCCGAAGCGAGAAGAGCAGCGTTAGCCATTGTGTTTTTGTTGCTAAATTACGGAAATGAAAATAATGAATTGAAAATCGTTTTAGAATGAAATTGTAATAATATAATTATAGTTTTTCTTCTCTTTTTATTAACAAGTCTTACTTTTTTTATATACACTCTTATACTGTTATATACACTCTTTTCAATTAAATCTCCGGAATATCGCTTAAAGGCAAATAAATGAACAATTTTGCCCTTATATTTATATATCGGTTAAACTTATTATGTCACAAATGATCACTGATTCCTGATAAAGTGCTATTATGTTATTGAAAACACGGAATACCAATCCGGAGAAATTCTACCAAATTCGTAATTTGGCTTCTTTGTTAAACAGCAGTAATGTAAACTTTTATTTATTCTACATATTGAAAGATAATCCTTTGAGGTCACGGAGGCACCAAATTAAACTTCATTATTAAATTACTTTAAAGGTTGTCCTTGGACGCACTTTATAAAAATCATCAAATGTACCATTCATATTTTGGTTAAATGAAATTATTTTTCATAAATTCCCTAAAATGTACCAACAAAAATTTCTGCTGTGTCATGATCAATTTATCGACTATTACTTTTACTAAGTTTTTATATACAGTAACGGTAAATAAAAAAAACATCGTTATCATTAACGTTATCAGTTGAAAATAGCAAATCCTACTAATCTGTGATTAAAAAGATAGATAATAAATACGGATACTATGACATGTAGAAAAGATAATAGGTCTTGCGATAACTCATGATTTTTATGTATGTTACAAAAACGGATATATAACGATAACGATAAACGATAATAGATTCAGGTTAGTACGTGCATGCCAGTGGAACGCTACATACATATGTACAGTACATCAACCTTCACCCTATGTGTGCTACTAGGATAATTATTCACATGTTTGGAATCATTACTCTCTTTAAGCATTGAAAGTTCTGGAGTCAACGTTTAAGCAATTCCCCACCATGAGCCGCAAGGTAATCAGAAATAACAGGCATTAAAAACATTTAATTTCTTTGAAAGGCTTCCGGTCTCTCTCTATTATCTTCACACATGTTGCGTTCACGTCTCGATTCCACAAAGTTAAACGGGTACTCCGGTAAACTTTTTATGTGTCATGATTTGTCGAACCAGCCTTCCTTCTCAAGAACAATCTGCAAAATACAAATGAATAAGAAATGTTTAATTCATTTGGATGTTCGAAATTCAGAAACACGTTTTGGTCTCTTTGGTTCTTTACAAAATTGGTTTATAGAACCTGATACATCGAGATGGTCGGTATACAGTACAAATCAAAACTAAGTATATATAGTATAATGTAAAAATTTAAAAATTTTTATATAGATCTCGATTTTTATTTATGAGCTATAATTTTTCGAGAATTTTAAACCTCAACGGTTCGATAGTCTAGGATAGTGTGAAGACCGATATTATGTCTTTATAAACAAAGTTAGAGCTATCTCTTTAAGCTTAAATAAAAATTTTAACCAAAAAGAATTTAAATCAATATATGTTTTTTAAGTAAACGAAAAAATAGCTCTGTAATTTTGTAGACATAATATGGTCTTTACAAAATTTATCGAACCATTAAGACTGTATATCTATTTTAAAATTCGCGAAGAATTATAGCAATAAAATTTAACTTATGTTATCGCTATACTTCGATTTACATAGTATATCGCGGATCTACCCTGAAATCTGATATGGTAAAAATCCTGAAAAAATCGGCAAACATTAAACCAACTCTACTAATTTTGTCGGGATTTCGGGTAGATTCATATATCGCCCACCACATGTCCTCGTTAAGAAAATGAGAAAAGCCTAAGAATATTAGTCTAAGATCGCATAACATCCCTAAGAAAAGCAATATCTACTACATTATTGTAATCATCCTCAGCTTATATCGCAAGCAACATATTGAAGTTTGTGAAATAGGAATGTTATTATTTATATTTTTGACATTTAGAGCCTAATTATTGGAAAACTATTGTCAATGTCTCGTATATAGAAAGAGAAAAAACTCTACGCTTTCGATTATTCGTCGCATTTTATTGTTTTTTGTAAGACATTCGCGTTAAAAGATAATGAAGGATCAATATCTCTTCTTCCGGGATCCCAATAATTGTCTTTCCTATTAGATTAATCAAAGGAAGAAATACGTCTGATTGACTAATTTTCAAGTATTACAGTAGTGGTCATGGAAACTGGATCCCCTTCTAACTCTTTAAACAATACTGATCTTTTGATAGGAGTAAGCTGTTTTGCCCACTTTTTATAAAAATTTTGTTGAAGAAGTAAGTAGGTGATAGTATGAAGTATAGCTCTTGTACTCTTCTTAAAGGAATATAGATTTTTTTCAAAGCCAATAAAATATATAGAGTCAAGTATACTGCTAGTTTTCTTGTTAGTAAGTAATAAACTCTAAACTTGTTAGCAAATAGCGTATAAGAAC